TTATTTGCTTCACAATCCAATCAGAATATTTAAATTGCATTATTTAAATTGCATAACGTAAACAATTATTCTGTAATTTGCAAACTTAGTTGGACATTTATAAATCGCCTAAAGTAACTCCAATGATAGTTTTTCAGCTAATTAATGCTTTGTTGATCGAGTCGAAACAAATATAATACATTAAAAATTAGAGATAATACATGTATTATATGTGTGTGCGCGTGTATATACTTTTATATATATATATATATATATATATATATATATATATATATATATATATATATATATATATATATATATATAAACCAAAACCGAAACCCAAAAAAATATTCTTATAATTAAAGAATATTCTATATCCGCAGTTCTTGCTCATGAACATCAATCACAACGCAGTCTTTGCATTGATCAATATTGTCAAGGGGCTCAACGGTTGCCAGCTGTCGTTGTTTGTCACAATATGTAGGTGTGGATTTCGGGTTTTCGAAACGCGCCTTTGTAGAAAGTTGAGCAACAGAGACCGAAATCTCTTCGACAATTCTAACGATGTCACAAAGTGTTGATGCAACAACGAATAGTTTCATGGTTTCTTGGAGGTCGTGTAAGGGTAGAGAGAATTCTTCGAGCTCGGTTATGAGGTCAACGCCTTCGGATTTTGACTTTTGTATATGGCTTTGGAGGGAAGGTGACGGAAATCTCTTTTCTTTAATTGTGGACGACACTTCTCTTAGGGCTTTGCCTGTTTCTTTGCTCATTGTTGTGCATGTTTTTTCTATTTTCCTGTGAATTTCTGATGCTACCTGCAATTGAAATTTTAGCTAATTAATTGATTTTTTTTTTTCCCTTTTCAACTCAATCTATAATTAATTAGCTAGGCTATATTACATGTACCCCTATGGATTAGGTAGACCCCTAGGATTTATACAATTACATCCACAAACCTAATTTAAATAAACAACTGATTGTTAAAGGAATTGATAAGTTATTTACGACTCATTTTTTGATTTATTTTTTAAAGCGTTTGAGTAATGACCTTATTAGTTATTTTATGCATTATAAGATCTTAAATAAAATGGGGGGTAAATGTAGTTTTAAAAAATATATTAAATGCTCTACATCAGCTTATTTTGTTCAATTTTTTAACATTTTTTTCAAAAGAAATTATCAAACACTTTGGAAGAGCTTAGAAGCTCTTAAACATCTTATAAATTATTTTTAACAGCAAGCTTAACCAAACAACCTCTTATATAACATGTTGATTGAGGTCCGAGTCAACTACTCGTGTAATATCGAATTGGTTTGTAATTCACAAACACCGGTTTTCAAGGCCGGGTCCGATGGACTAGGTTTAGGTTATACCTGAGGTTTAGAGTGAATTAAGCATTCTCCAAGTGTTTGAATATGATGGGCACATTCCCTCGCAAGATTCCCTATCTTCAGATATTCCTTCCATGGTTGACATAACTTGAATCCTCCATGAGGAGGTTCCCACCATGCAAATTGTGCCTGGAAAATTAAATATATATATATATATATATATATATATATATATATATATATATATATATATATATATATATATTTATTTATTGCAATATTTCTTCATCCCTTTTTTTCTTTATATATTTTTCTACTTTAGCTTTCTGTGGTTCTTTCCATCTTTGTGGTCTATGTTATTTTTTTTTGTTACAGTCTGTTTTTATATTTTCTCTTTTTCCATTTTGTTTCTATTTCTCTTCACTTCCTCTCTTCCTTATTCTTTTTTATTTTTTTTTTTCTTTGTTTTATGTTTGCTTCTTCTTTTGCTTACCTTTCCTTTCATTT